GCACTAATAGATTGGACCCCCATTAGCAATCGGTTATGTGCTGTTAGATTAGAAAGTTCCATCAAAGTGAGAAGAAATCGGCGGGAGAAACGATGTCTTCTCGTCATCTCCACGTATGCCTCGACAAATTGCAGCCCGGATGCAATCAACGATGAATTCCACCACCAATTATCTGTTCTTCTGCAGAAAGTGCGTTCGACAGATATTGTAGTACTAGCCGGAGAATTGAATGCTCAGGTCGGGCGTCTAGGCACAGAAGAGAGTCGTTTAGGTGGCCGATGGGGACTCGTTGGTCACAGGACAGATAACGGGGACTGTCTACTGCAACTGTGCACAGTCCCGCCTATAAGCACTGGGTTTCTTCAGGCTCCTTACAACTCATCGAAGCCCATCGGTCTACACCGGGTGACCGTGAGTCTGATCACAAACGGTGATCGTCTACTGCAATTGTGCATAGACCACAGCATATTTCTGGCTAGCACTAACTTCCGGCACAGTCATCGCCGATGTGCCACATGGCGTCCTTCTTCTGCATCTCTAGCCTGGACTCAGATTGATTACATCGCGATCAGCTACCGCTGGTGTGGTTGTGTAAAAGTCTGCCGATCCTTTTGGAGGACCTATCTGGACTATGACCATGCCTTGGTCTGCGCCAATCTTGCCTTACTTCTCAGTGGACAACGAAGTGACCACCACCAACGGATTGATGTCAGCAAGTTGGTTGCAACTCCTGTTGCAAATAAGTATCGAACCGAGCTAGCTTCTAGGCTGGCTACCACTCCACGGAAAAGTATAGATGAGCATTGGTTGCGACTTCATGACGCCATGAAAATGGCGAGTAAAGTCGCATGCGGTTTCGCAAAAGGTCTCGCTTATAAGCACGGAGTTTCTTCAGGCTCCTTACAACTCATTGAAGCCCGTCAGTCTACTCCGGGTGACCGTGAGTTTGACCACAAACGAAGGATGTTACATAATGAAATCGGGCAAAGCTTGCGTAAGGACCGAGGAGCCTGGTGATAGGAGCATGCTAATGAGCTGGAAGCAGCAGCTGCATCTGGTAACTACCGGAAGCTCTTCCAACTCATCCGACTTTATGACTAAGAAACTGACGACGTTGTTTACAAAGGTCTGGGAGCTAGAGAGTGTACCAACGTCATGGAATGAGTCAATAGTTGTCCCTGTCTTTAAAAAGGGTTCTCGTTGTTCCTGTAACAACTATCGAGGGATAAGTCTACTCCTGATTGCGTCCAAGCTATTGGCTTCTGTTATACTTCGTAGATTGTTCAAAGCTCGAGAAAGATTGATTCACGAGGAGCAGTCTGGTTTTCGTTCTGGTCGAGGATGTATTGATCATATCTTCACTCTCCGCCAAATGTTAGAACACCGTCATATTTATCAAAGGCCAATAATCGTAGTGTTTTTTGACATCAGGGTTGCCTTCGAATCTTTGGACAGGACTGTTATCTGGTATTGTATATTGAAGAAGGGTGTGCCTGAGAAGTTTATTAATATCCTTAAGGCTCTATATACAAACACCTCAGGCAGAGTGAGGGCATACAACCACCTTTCTCCATTGTTCCATTCGAGTAGTGGGGTTAGACAGGGTTGCCTAACCTCACCATCCCTCCTCAACTTTGCCATCGATGACATTCTGGAAACAACTCTGTAATTTTTTCCTTCCATTGCGAGAAAGTAACACCTTCGTAGGTGTTGGTTTTCTAAGGAAAACACTTTACTAAACTAAATATCTGAAAAATGTAAATGAATATATTTCTCTATACATTGACGTAACTTAACAAGTAACCATATGCATTTTATTAGGATTTCATAATTTATCATTAATTCAATAGTTAATCAAATAATCAGATCAACCATAAATTTCTTGCTTGAACTGCTTCAATACGTACATTTTGATTGGGATCATCAGCTAATTGATCTAAGAATGATAGAATATTGACATCACGATGACGACTAATCAATTGGTCCGGGAATAATTTTATAATGCTGCACAGACAACGAGCGATAATTAAACCTGAATAAGTTAAAATATTGATATTTCGTTCATTTTCCTGATCAAACATTACAGTATCGTTAATCTCCTGATAGTAGTCACAACTTTATCCTGCCAACAGTGTGTGAAGAGTAGTGATGCTACTACTTGACTTTTCAAATCAAAGTAGGTGAAATGAGATTAGAATTTACTTGTTATTGATTGGAAGCTGAGGTATTTATAATAACTAAATCACCATCGCTCCACAAAAATGTATTAATCACATTTATCTGGTTAACTAATTATAGTGTTCAATGTGATAATGTTTTTTTTCTTTTAATTATCTAAGCAATGTTGACTACTTACATGCAAAGCCAGTTATATGTTGTTGTTAATTGATTGATTGATCAGTAGAGTTAATTTAGTCACATAATATTTCCTAATATATCATTCGAAAGTATCGAATAGAATCTCGTCGAAATATTTTATCGTAAATATGTTAACCGAAAGAAAAACATGTATACACAATACTGTGTTTTAAATTCCCATTCCGTATTCACATCTTTTCCATTATTTGACATAGTCTAGATGGCTATGAACAAACGAACTTAGTATTTACAATTGCTCGACCACTGAGTAGTGACTGATGTTACTTATTTCAAGTCCTTTTCAGTGCTGATCAAATCCTATCAATCAAGTTACAATCTGGCCACTAATCTGAATGACTCGATTGGTCCATTGTTCTCCATTGTTCCATTCACGCGGTGGGGTTAGACAGGGTTGCCCAATCTCACCATCCCTCCTCAACTTTGCCATCGATGACTTTCTGGAAACAGCTCTGATGAATGTAAGTAATGGTGGTGTGGATCTGTTGCCTGGAGAAAGACTTCTCGACCTTGAGTATGCGGATGATATTGTCTTACTGTGCGATAATGCCCAAACCATGCAATCCTCACTTAATCAGTTGGCAATCAGTGTCCGTAGGTATGGTATGTGCTTTGCACCTTTGAAGTGCAAAGTACTTCTACAAGACTGACAGGATTCTAATCCTGTATTCGCCCTGGATGGTGAGCAGATAGAAGTAGTCGAGAAGTTCGTGTATCTAGGTAGCTGCATAAGTGCTGGTGGTGGCGTGAGTGATGAGATCAATGCACGTATAGTGAAAGCCAGAGCGGCTTATGCCAATCTGGGCCATCTTTGGCTCCTTCGTGATGTAAGTCTGACTGTAAAAGTTCAGATCTACAACGCGTCGGTGAGAGCAGTTTTGCTCCATGCTTGTGACACCTGGCCTCTCCGAGTTGAGGATGTTAGACGACTCTCTGTGTTTGATCATCGTTGTCTCCGAAGAATTGCCGGCATCCAGTGTCAACACCATGTTAGTAATGCAGAGGTTCGGCATCGTGTGTTCGGGCACAGAAATGATAATACAATCGATGTCACCATCTTGAAACACCGACTTCGGTGGCGTGGACATGTTCTACGGATGTCGTCCCAGAGAATTCCACGTCGTGCATTATTTGCCGACTCTGGGACTGGTTGGAAAAATCGGAGAGGTGGTCAGTGTATGACATGGTGTCGTGGTATGAAAGAAACCTGCAAAGGGCTGGCTTGTGTTGGTCCTTCTCGACTCCCTGGTTGGGGTCTGAGAGATTGTGCGACACAGTGGCTAGAAACGTTATCAGATATGGCTCAGAATAGAAGCCAGTGGCGATCCTGCTGTAACCTTCTTTTACTTTCTTCATAAAAAGTGGTTGTAACTTCCTTAACTGAAAGACTTCTTCTGGTTGTTCCCTTCTGTTTCCCCCATTATTATTATTATTATTATTATTATTATTATTATTATTATTATTATTATTTCCCTACCATACACTAATCTGTAGTCGTTATTGTTCTTTTTTTTACGCTCCTTACCCTCTTGTTTTTCTCTTCCCATTCTCATTGTTTTGTGTGGCGCATATATATTTGCTGCCCCCTTCTACCAATATTTATGTGTTCAAATAAATTAGTAAGTCTGAAAAGTAAATATCTGTTAAACGACTGTATTTACAGTCATAATCCTACAAAGGGGATGTAAAATCAGTCGCGATACCAATGGTCTATAAATTTAACGTGTGAATTCTATTCAAATATTTGAGTTTTATTACAGGTTATACATTGTAGATGTTGCTGTCAAATAAATGTCGATCGTCTAATAGGAAGATGTAGTTCTGATAGTCTTTGCTTTCTGATTACACTATGAAAATCAATATCTCTTGAAAACTACTTGGCCCAGGTATGGTGAAGATTGGGGAGAGTTCGCTCTCTCTCTCTCTACGAATGCTTTCACGTGGCCACGTGCATACAACCACTGACAGGGATGTCATACTCACTGCTCTCTCAAACCAGGGGTGTTGTTTACGAAATTGAGGGAACGGAAACCGAATGTCCGTCGTTTTAACCGGGTTGGTGGATATGGAGGATCCACTTGGGGGAGTTGGGAAACCGTGATTTCAAACTAGTGGTGAATATGGGCTCCAGGATTCTGAGGGAACAAATGGCGTATGAACTAATTGTTGGTCACTGGCTACCATGGGACCGCGTCTCCTGACGTTGTTCCGCTGCCTTTTGGATCACATCTTTAGGTCGAAGGCTCCGAGTGTGGCTCCCTTAGAAACCACCTGCTTCGGTTTGGGCACTCGGACAATATCATAGCTCACATACAAATCAAGTGACTTGCGTGGTGCTCCATGTATCAATGTTTATGTGTTCAAATCAATAAATCAATTCGTTTCACAGATATAAATTTGACCGGAGTGCACTTCAGCGTAGCAAACTCGTCACTTAATTGACATATTGATATCCCATATGTTCTACAAGTAACGCCAGTTGACCCAAAGCAATTGAGTTCTAGTCGAGATTTCATCAAATACCAACCCACAAGGGCTGACGAGACTTCCAAGATAAGTGCACGCTCAACTAGGGCACTTCCAATAGCTTTACTGATACTTTCCCTTTTTTTAACCATTTATAGATGTCACAAATGTTGACAATCGATATAAAGCCAACCAAATCGTTTCCTGGCCAGAAACCAGGTACAAGTGGTTTACGTAAACCAACAAAAACATTTATGCAACGTGGGTACACTGAGAACTTCATACAATCTATTTTAAATGCAGCTGTTGGTGAATTGTTGAACAAATCTCAACCAGTTCGACTTCTTTTAGGCGGAGACGGTCGGTATTTTGTACGAGAATCATTACAAAGTATCATTATCCCAATATGTTTAGCTAATGGGGTGTGTTTCCATTTTTTAAAATAAAAATTGTTTGTTTATTGAAGTTTCGTGGGGTTTGGTTTAATTTCCAGGTTGAATTATCTGTCTCGTCGTGCTTATTAAGTATGGAATCTTGGGTCGATGCACCAGGTTCTATGTTGATGATGTTAGTCTACTTTAATAGACTGATCTCTTTTGTGATTCCATTAAGAATCCGATGGGCACTGGAAAGCTCCTTCCTCCCAGTACGGGGTTCCACATTGACAATACCAGGCATTTACAACCCCATCAGGGATCGAACCCAGTACCTTCGAGTCTTGCCACAGATGCTCACCTATTCGGACTACTAGTGACTTCGAGATGTTTCTGAAGTCCCAGGAAGAAGCCGTGACTGGTGGAGTTCAGACACGACTGGAACGAAACTGATGCCAACAACTATATTGATTGTCCATCTTGTTGATCGAAATTGAAGTTTTCCCATTGAACAACTACCCACTAATTCGAATGGTCAAGTGTCTTTGGGATCGATCCCTAATGGGATTGTGAATGCACACTACTACTGTGGAGTTCTGTACTAAGGTGAAACGGTTGTACAGGGCTTCCTAATTGTCAGTGATTTTCTTAGGTCGGTCTTTGTGATATGATAGGACAAATAGTGAGGACGTTTACCTCGTGGGACCATCATACAAAGACCATTACTTATGCTTTTTTATTGTATAATTAGTAGACGCTTGTGTTGTTGTACTTTTATATTCTCCTATTTCTAAGCTTTCGTTTAATCTATAAATCATTATCATATGTCTTATTGCTTCAAATTTATCACCGTAAAGTGCTTAAGTCCTATTGTTGGATGGCACTACATATATGGGATTAAGTATTTATGACCTTGAAGAAATGAACACCTTTTTAGCAAGGTAACCGTAGACTTTTCTGCTAAGTTATTATAATTTTTGATAAATGGAGTTGAATAAGTGAATTTATCTCTGATTATTTCGAATTCTAATATCAATCATATTCTGTCTGCTCATAATGAACCTACTAGTTTAGCCTTGGCTCTAAATTCACTAGTTTTGTATATTCACTTGTAAATTGAGTAACCGCTTAGACTCATGACTAATAGATAATGCATAGTTTATTTCTCACTCTTTTCTTAGGTATCTGAATTGTTTGTTGGTCAAAATGGAATCCTGTCAACTCCAGCTGCATCATTCATAATTCGTAAGCATCAATTGAATGGTGGTATTCTTCTAACAGCTAGTCATAATCCTGGTGGACTAAATGCAGACTTTGGTATTAAATACAATTGTGGGAATGGTGGACCAGCACCGGAGAAATTAACAGATGCTATTTTTGCACAAAGTGAAAAGTTGACTTCTTATAAAACTGTTAAAGAACCATTAAATATTCAGTTGGAATGTATTGGTTCAACGAAATATACTTTATCCAATGGCCAAACTCCCATAGTAAGTAGTTAATTGTTTCATAGTAGACAACGCTATGTTTCAGACATTTTTGTGTAGTCGGTTTGTGTTGATCGATTGCTGCCATAACTACTTTTTGGTAAATCTGGCTTCAGCGTGTTGTTAGACTCCTGTTTTATTCCTGCTAGTTGATTAGTTGATATAGTCATGTTTGATTCAATTTCACTATTATTTTATACGCGTTTTTTTAATGAGAACTATTCATACCATTATAAATATTTCAAATTTGAATTACACTAACATTCAGTTTTGTTTTGATTAACAGACGTTTAGTTATTCTGTCAGTTCATTTATCTCTGAACTCCTTAATGCTCCAACTTAGTAAGCAAGCGGAAGATATATGAATGAAACCTGGAATTTGTATATACTATTCAGTGGATTCTAGGATTACATTTTAGTTAACGGGTTCCAACTTCCAACCAATTAAATCGGAGGTTCGAGTTCTGTTCTTTAGCTAATTGGATACTAATCAACTATGGAGTAACACTAACTCCTACACAAAAGCTGAGTAAAACGTAAAAATGCACTTGTTAAATAGGTTAAGTGAAAACAAACACCAAGCATAGAAATAGTTTGTAGGTGTTATATTCCCTGAGCTGGATGGTTCAGTCGTGAGGGTTTCATTGTTTCTTTTAGACAACACCATTAGGATTTCTTCACAACTGGCTAACAGTTTGTTCTGTTTACCTAGGAGAATTTGGTTGGCTCTTGTCTCTTTATTGTATAGCCGTCGTCTACATGCTTATGTTGGTCGCTTTCACCCTTAACCTGACCTCTGACCTTGAAGTTGTTTATCCTTTTTCTTACTAATCAATCTCGATGTATTGCTATTGATTGGTGCGTAATTAAAGTGATAGACCATTGGAAATCTGACTTTATTTATATTCCATCTGTTCAATATTTCGACGTTATCATATCTGGATTCCCATCCTTTTATTGTCTACATGCAAAATTATGTTGTAGTATTTTTTTTTGCTAGCTAGTGTTCATGTTATTATTTATTTATTTATTTATTTGAACACATAAATATTGGTACAAGAGAGCGCCAATATATATGCGCCACATAAAACAATGGGAATTCGAAGAAAAGTAGAAAGAGAAAAAAAAACTAAGGAACGCAAAAGAAAAAGAGAACAATGACGAAGAGATTGGAGTAAGTTAGTGTGGTAGTAACGACGGAACGACAAGGTACAATCAGAAGAAATCTTTCAGGTAAAGGAGACACAACCACTTTTTATAAAGAAAGTAAAAGAAGGTTACAGCAGGATCGCCACTGGCTTCTATTCTGAGCCATATCTGATAACGTCTCTAGCCACTGTGTCGCACAATCTCTCAGACCCCAACCAGGGAGTCGAGAAGGACCAACACAAGCCAGTCCTTTGCAGGTTTCTTTCATACCACGACACCATGTCATGCACTGACCACCTCTCCGATTTTTCCAACCAGTCCCAGAGTCGGCAAATAATGCACGACGTGGAATTCTCTGGGACGACATCCGTAGAACATGTCCACGCCACCGAAGTCGGTGTTTCAAGATGGTGACATCGATTGTATTATCATCTCTGTGCCCGAACACACGATGCCGGACCTCTGCATTACTGACATGGTGTTGCCACTGAATGTCAGCAATCCTTCGGAGACAGCGATGATCAAACACAGAGAGTCGTCTAACATCCTCAACTCGGAGAGGCCAGGTGTCACAAGCATGGAGCAAAACTGCTCTCACCGACGCGTTGTAGATCTGAACTTTTACAGTCAGACTAACATCACGAAGGAGCCAAAGATGGCCCAGATTGGCATAAGCCGCTCTGGCTTTCACTATACGTGCATTGATCTCATCACTCACGCCACCACCAGCACTTATGCAGCTACCTAGATACACGAACTTCTCGACTACTTCTATCTGCTCACCATCCAGGGCGAATACAGGATTAGAATCCTGTCAGTCTTGTAGAAGTACTTTGCACTTCAAAGGTGCACAGCACATACCATACCTACGGACACTGATTGCCAACTGATTAAGTGAGGATTGCATGGTTTGGGCATTATCGCACAGTAAGACAATATCATCCGCATACTCAAGGTCGAGAAGTCTTTCTCCAGGCAACAGATCCACACCACCATTACTTACATTCATCAGAGCTGTTTCCAGAAAGTCATCGATGGCAAAGTTGAGGAGGGATGGTGAGATTGGGCAACCCTGCCTAACCCCACTACTCGAATGGAACAATGGAGAAAGGTGGTTGTATGCCCTCACTCTGCCTGAGGTGTTTTTATACAGGGCTTTTAGAATGTTAATAAACTTCTCAGGCACACCCTTCTTCAATAGACAATCCCAGAGAACAGTCCTATCCAACGAATCGAAGGCAGCCCTGATGTCAAAAAACACTACGATTATTGGCCTTTGATAAATATGACGGTGTTCTAACATTTGGCGGAGAGTGAAGATATGATCAATACATCCTCGACCAGAACGAAAACCAGACTGCTCCTCGTGAATCAATCTTTCTCGAGCTTTGAACAACCTACGAAGTATAACAGAAGCCAATAGCTTGGACGCAATCAGGAGTAGACTTATCCCTCGATAGTTGTTACAGGAACAACGAGAACCCTTTTTAAAGACAGGGACAACTATTGACTCATTCCATGACGTTGGTACACTCTCTAGCTCCCAGACCTTTGTAAACAACGTCGTCAATTCCTTAGTCGAAAAGTCACCACCATCTTTAAAAAGAGCCGGAGGTAAGTCATCTGGGCCAGGTGATTTGTAACGCTTCAAGAGTTGGAGTTCCTTGCGGACTTCCTCCTCATTTGGTGGATCAGTCGTCACCGGCCATGGAGGGCAGGACAGTCTGACCGATGTTGCCGGAGCAGCAGGCCAGTTGAACTGCCCTTCGAAAAATTCTGCCCATCGTCCAAGACGTCGATGGATGTTAGTGATTGGCATCCCATCATCCTCGCAGATTGTTCCACTCACACCAGACTTCTTGCTGCCAGTGGCTCGGATGAGCTGGAAGAGCTTCCGGTAGTTACCAGATGCAGCTGCTGCTTCCAGCTCATTAGCACGCATCGACCACCAGGCTTCTCGGTCCTTACGCAAGCCTTGCCCAATTTCCTTACGTAACATCCTTCGTTTATGGTCAAACTCACGGTCACCCGGAGTAGACCGACGGGCTTCAATGAGTTGTAAGGAACCAGAAGAAACCCAGTGCTTAAAAGCGGGACGTTTCGCAAACCCACAACTGACTGTTCCCATCATTTTCATGGCGTCACGCAATTGCAACCAATGCTCATCTATACCTTTCCGTGGAGTGGTAGCTAGCCTAGAGGCTAGCTCGGTTCGATACTTACTTGGAACAGAAGTTGCAACCAGCTTGCTAACATCAATCCGTTGATGGCGTTCACTTCGTTGTCCACTGAGAAGTAAGGCAAGATTGGCGCAGACCAAGGCATGGTCATAGTCCAGATAGGTCCTCCAAAAGGAGCGGCAGACTTTTACACAACCACACCAGCGGTAGCTGATCGCGATGTAATCAATCTGAGTCCAGGCTAGAGATGCAGAAGAAGGACGCCAGGTGGCACATCGGCGATGACTGTGCCGGAAGTTAGTGCTAGCCAGAAACAGGTTGTGGTCTGTGCACAGTTGCAGTAGACGGTCCCCGTTATCTGTCCTGTGACCAACGAGTCCCCATCGGCCACCTAAACGACTCTCTTCTGTGCCTAGACGCCCGACCTGAGCATTCAATTCTCCGGCTAGTACTACAATATCTGTCGAACGCACTTTCTGCAGAAGAACAGATAATTGGTGGTGGAATTCATCGTTGATTGCATCCGGGCTGCAATCTGTCGAGGCATACGTGGAGATGACGAAAAGACATCGTTTCTCACGCCAATTTCTTCTCACTTTGATGGAACTTTCTAATCTAACAGCACATAACCGACTGTTAATGGGGATCCAATCGACTAATGCTGCCTCAGCTCTAGCCCTTAGTGCGACACCAACGCCAGCAAGACCAGACGAAGATGCCACAGGGTCCCCAGATAAGCGCACGTAAAACAAGCTTTTCGAAGCGACAGATGGAGATCGAATTTGTAGTACTTCGCCAGAGTCTTGAATACGGGTCTCGGATAGACAACACACGTCGATATTAAGACTTTCTAAAGACATAGCCAGCCCTATCTGTTGTCCGACCTGCATAAATGTGCGAACGTTGAAGGCAGCCAGTTTGAATGGTGCACGTGGTTTCAGAAAATCTGCTTCAGTCCTCGTATTCGGTGGTAACATACAATTTTCAACCGGACAGTGACTCGAGAACGTTTAGATACAGTCGGATTTCCACCAAAGACGAGCCGCTGTATAAGTATAAAAGAGGGTGAATAATGTGGAAAATAATAATAATAATAATAATAATAATAATAATAATAATAATAATAGTAATAATAATAGTATTAATAATGACAATAATAGTAATGATAATTATTTGAATCGACTGATTGTTTTTCGGAGCGATAAAAGTAGTTGCCATAGACATAGAGTTCATCGTTTGTGTGTGGGCTGTGATACTGTCCGGGTGCCCAAACCGAAGCAGGTGGTTATCTTAGGGGGCCACTCCCCGAGCCTTTGACCTAAAGGTCTAACCGACAAGGCAGTGGAGCATCGTGAGGAGATGCAGTCCCATGGTAGCCGGTGACCAACGATTGGTTCATACGCCATTTGTTCCTTCAGGATACTGGAGCCCATGTGCACCATTGATTTGGAAACCGGTTAAAGGGCCGGACATTCGCTTTTCGTCCTCTCATTTTCGTAGACAACACCCCCGCCACGAGAAGGCAATGAGTAGGACTTCCCTGGCAGAGGCTGTATACGCGTGGCCGTGTGAGAGTATTTCGAGAGGGAGAGCGGACTCTCCCCACTCTCGGCCGTACCAGGGCATTCAGGGGGAAATAATGGGTTTTTCACCAGCTCGGTATACTCAACCCACTAAAATTTATATTTAACGTTGGAATGCATTAAATGTTGGCTAGGGGTTTTGAAAAAAATGCAATTTTTTTAACAGTTTTCATAAATTTATTTATCATAGCTTAAATCACGAACTGACCTATACCACCATTGAATACTAGAAAATCCTAGTACCAGCATACATCCATGACCCCGTATCCGGTAATCGAACCCGAAACCCTCAGTTCCACGTAGTAACCCATAATCTGTAGACCACTGAACCAAGGTCCAGTGGTGTACTAGTCTAACTTCAATCAATTCACAGTTTTACGACATTTATCCATTGTTTACTGTGAATAACTGCCTCACAACCGGCATGGTTGAAACTCCACTAGTCACGGCTTCTCACGAAAACTCCGGTATATGTATGTTTAAGCTAACCCCTGGTAATTATCAAAAATGTAGTTTTTTTGAGATTATAGAATTTTTATACTTTCTGTATCACGAACTAATCTTAGCTAGATCACCAGGCAGGGTTGGGGATGTGCACTGCTGGGAAGTCTCATACTAGGACAGAACGATCACCCACTGCCTCCAGATTTTCAATGGTGGTTTAACTAAGATCTGTTAATGATTTAAACTATGAAAATACTACAATCTCTACCAATTCCCCTACACTGAATATTCGTTCGGTTTGATCATTCCCCTATTAATATTTATGAATATATTTTAATATCAGTTAGACGCCTATTATTTTTAAAAGCAAACATTTTGTTTTATCTTATTCACGATAAGGTAACGATCATAAGCAGTGTTTCTGATTATGCCGATTACATGCACACATTGTTCGATTTTGATGCTATTAAAACACTATTGACTGGTTCACATCAGCGTGAACCATTTAAATTGCTTGTCAGTGGTCTTAACGGAGGTGAGAGAATTTATTATTTATAATAATAATTATTATTATTATTACTGTTGCTAGGTGGTTTATTATTATTATTTCTTGTTTTTGTTGTTGTTAGATATTCGTCATCATAGACACTGTAGTGAGCTGGATAAATAAAAGATCACTGAACAAATGTCTTATCATAGTTTGTATCCATACATGAAGTTGGTATTTATGACGTTGTCTAAAGTGATAATAGAAGCCTTCCAACGTAACTATCTAGCTGAGAGTTTGTGAGACTCATTGGGGGTTTTCAAATATGACTTCCAATTGGATGAGATTCAAGGTCTTTGAATCTTACATAAAGCACCAGTACGTTAGATCTTTAATGGTCTACATATTCATGGCACTGGGGTGTATTTGTGTCTGTGTATGTGGCAATAATTTGATGTCGTCGATAATTATCTGTTTCACGTTCCCCTACATGGTTGAACTCTTAATTAGTCATGTGGTCTCTTACCTAGAACTTCGGAAATGAGTCTCGATATCAATCAATAGTGAACACTTACAACTGTTGCTGGCTTGGTCTTTCGTTTTTTAATGTGAGCTTATCAACAATGAAATCAATGACTTAACTCTTTCTATTTTCATTATTTCGAGGACACATTTTTCTGAGATTTATTTCATATTTGCGGTTTAATCATCAAAGGAATTGTAGTTTACGAAGAAAAGTACCTAGCAATATCAAAGTTTTTAGATTATGCATAAATGTGTGTTTCTCATCAACTTTTCCGTGTCATAACGTCAGGGATTAAGTGTACTTAACTGAAAGAGACATTTCTTGAAACTGTTATGATATTAAAATTTGGAGCAAATTATTTAACAGTGAGTGCTTCACTTTTACGTCAGTTGTGATTCATCAAGGTTTGTGTTTCACACCTTCCACGGTGTGAGCAGCCGGGAGGTGATAACTGCCTTCATACCTTTATTAGCACCCGAGGTCATCTTGTTGGCAATCGAGTACCCCCCTCACCTCTTAATAATTCTTCCACCCCCACGAATAACTCTTCTCATTCATCATTATCACCATGCGCCACCAATGCTAATAATTTGAGTTCACGAAATGTTATCCCTGGTATCCTGAAACCACACTAAACTACAGTTTCTAGCCGTTAATGTTCAAATCTTGTGTCAGATAGGACAGCAAACTTCTTTAGCTAGGACTCTAGAATCTCGCGCCACCAATGTCTGCTGAGTCTCCGAAACACACACGGGGTCGAAGTACATTCATTCTCTGACCTCACTTTGTCAATGTAAAGAACCGACAAGTTTTACCTTTTGCGTATCTGAAATCCCCACTGCTACGTCAAGCGGTCTCACTAGTGCAGGTATAGCCTTAATTTTAAAAGCGGAGCAGGCTCTCCTAGACTGAATTTCAATAGACAGTCACTTGTGCGCTATCCTACTAAGCAGGACAGTAGGAACTCAAAAAGATTAGAACAAACACCGTTGCCTCTTCGTTGTATCTGCTTATGCTCCCACTGATTGTAGCTCAGACGAAGTTAAAGGCGTTCGAATCTGTTAATCGTGAGGTTTTATGGCAGTGTCTGTCACCGAAAAGCGTAACAAAGAAGTACATTAACCTTGTACAGGCTACTTAAACACTTCTCGTCGAGTCAGAGCTTAATGTGAACTGTCATCGGAATTAGTTACTTCAAGTGGTGTTCGTTACGGTTGCCTGCTTTCTCTATTTTTATTTAACTTTGTCATAGACATACTCTTGGAGATAACACTTCAATTGTCTTACTTTCAGGGGTTGATCTACCAGGAGATTCACTTGTTGACTTAGAATACACAGATGATATAGTTCTGTTTTTTAAAGACGCTGACAAAATGCAGACTATTCTGACCATCCTAAGTAACAATGCAAGCATGTTTGGGATGTGGTTCTCTCTCTCCCAATGCAAAATGTTGCTCCATGATTGAATTGCGTCATCACCTGAATTAGTGATAGGGAGTGAGCCAGTTGAATACATCATTCATTCATCACGGAATTCTCATCATCATTGATGGTCTGGTGTCTGACTTAATCCCTTAGTGGATTCAGAAGTTTCGGTTGGCTTTTACCAGCTTGCGTTACTTGTGGTGTAGGCGAGATATCCGTCTTCCGACCAAAGGGCGAGTTTATTGCGCAGCCGTTTGTTACGTTCTAATTAATGGATGTAAATTATGGCCATTAAAAGTAGAGAATATTCATAGGTAACTAGTATTTGATCACAGGTGTCTAAGAAGCATCGCTCGTATATTTTCGGACCATGGAGTCAACAATCTCGGGGTTAGGAACAGGATAAGGATGGTGGATCGATTGATGAGGTAGCAAATTCTCACCAACTGAGGTGGTTGGGAATCGTGTTACGTATGCCCAACCACTGCCCACCCCGACGGGCTTTTTTGATGCAAGAATAGGCTGGAAGAAAGCTAGGGGTGGTTTCGTCCTACGTCTGCAGCGTTTCTGGTCCGCGTCCCTTACTAACGCAATCTTCAGACTCTGGATACAAACCACTCTGGTGTGGCACGCCAACTCAAGCAACAAGTACAGCACACCATCCCTGGCGCCGTTCTCCGAAAAAGAACTTCGTTGGCAACTCGACGATCAACGATCGCTTTCCTGTTCCGCCGATTCTTCCGTCCTACAATCGCTCGTCAGCCGATCAGTCCCACGATTTAAACCGCTATTTATCGAAAGTGTAAACCCTTTCTAGCAGGGGGGCTCCTGTGGTGACTCACTTTTATCATGAGAACACGACTGGTTTAATGAAAACAATCATTATTATAACCAACTGTACCAGTGCTTGTTTTAATGTGCTTTTGTTTATCTGTGCTAATTACAGCCATTTTGTGCTTCCATTACCGTCCATCATTGGTCCGTGGTTTTTGGCTTTGTTCGGACGTACTCCATTCTCCTGCTTTCTCTTGTACCATTTCTTGGCACGATCTTGGTATTCGTTCAATACCACGAGATCGCCAACGAAATGAATCTGGTTACGTTCAACCTTCGCCTTCTGATTTCTTTGGCACGTGTTCCTTGGTAGCGGTGTTCATAGTCAACTGGGACTCGACGTACTTTTAGAGATAACACTCTCCTCATCTAAATTTCCAGGGGTTGAACTTCTACCAGGAGGTTCACTTGTTGACTTAGAATATGCCGATGACATAGTTCTGTTTGGTGAAGACGCTGACAAGATGCAGAGTCTTCTGACCACTCTAAGCAACAATGCAATCATGTTCGGGATGCGATTCTCTCCCTCGAAATGCAAAATGTTGCTTCAGGATTGGGTTACATCGACACCCGAACTAATGATAGGGAGTGAAGTAGTTGAGTGTGTCGACCGCTTCACTTATCTTGGAAGTCTCATCAGCCCTTGTAGTCTGGTGTGTGACGAAATCTCAGCACGGATACAAAAAGCTCGACTAGCTTTTGCCAACTTGCGTCATTTATGGCGTAGGCGAGATATCCGTGTATCAACCAAAGGACGTGTTTACTACGCAGCAGTTCGTCCCGTCCTACTTTATGGCAGTGAAACATGGCCGGTAAGAGTAGAAGATATTCGTAGGTTACTAGTATTTGATCATAGGTGTCTTCGAAACATTGCTCGTATATCCTGGGACCATCGAGTAAGTAACACAGTTGTTAGGAAACGGGTATTAGGTAAGGATGGCAAATCAGTTGATGAAGTAGTGAAACTTCATCAGTTGAGATGGCTGGGACATGTGTTACGTATGCCCAACCACCGACTACCTCGACGTGCGATGTTCAGTGGTATAGGAGTAGGTTGGAAGAAAGCTAGGGGCGGCCAGACCAAAACATGGCACAAGTACATGAAGTCACTGACAAGTAGACTGAGTCATGTTGGTAGGTGTAGACTACCTGGTTGGGGACAACGAGATGATAGCAACCGATGGTTAGAGATGTTGAATGACATAATTCAAAATCGTTTACTATGGATGCAGGTGCATCCACTCCTTGTGTTCTCCCAAATTCTAATCTTGTGAATTCTTCATGTCCTGTTTTCTCTTCTTAAATTTATTTCACTGGACTATACTCCTTGAATAACACCTTCAAACCCTAATGTTTCCGATTGCTGCTTATACTTTTACTACCTCTACGACTATGGGATTTGAATCGACCACTGCATCTGTGTGCTAATGTGGTGTGGCAACTCGAACTGATGTACGTACGTACGAAGTTCTGCGTTGTTACTGAGTGACTGACTGAAACCTAAATATGGTATGAGTCTATGGGGGCATTGACGATTGGACTGACGTATGTTGATAGGTATAGACTACCTATTATTACTATTGGGAGGCACTAGATAGGCATGCGCCACATAAATCGTTCGATTTGTGCGGAGGCTGGGATACTACCGGCGTGCCCAAATCGAAGCAGGTGGTTTTCTAAGGGAGCCACACTCGGAGCCTTCGACCTAAAGATCTGATCCAAAAGGCAGCGGAACAACGTCAGGAGACGCGGTCCCATGGTAGCCAGTGACCAACAATTAGTTCATACGCCATTTGTTCCCTCAGAATCCTGGAGCCCATATTCACCACTAGTTTGAAATCACGGTTTCCCAACTCCCCCAAGTGGATCCTCCATATCCACCAACCCGGTTAAAACGACGGACATTCGGTTTCCGTTCCCTCAATTTCGTAAACAACACCCCTGGTTTGAGAGAGCAGTGAGTATGACATCCCTGTCAGTGGTTGTATGCACGTGGCCATGTGAAAGCATCCGTAGAGAGAGAGAGAGAGAGCGGACTCTCCCTACACTCGGCCGTACTGTTGAACTGGATCGTATTGCTAAGCCCAAACTACATATATAGTGTCCGTTTAATTATTGCAGCCAATGGTTGAAAATGTTGGTTGGTAGGGCTCAGAATCAGCCACAATTGACTAAATACATTCACTCTTTGTCTTCTCTTGGATCTTTAGTTTCAAAATTATCTTGTTCTTTTATCATTCAAATTCATTCTCGAACTGTATTA